GGGGGGGGGGCAAAAATCTGTGCTTCCTTGTCGCAAAACCTACTTTCACCAACAGTTCGCCATAGGGTGAGCAATGCAGAGATCCGTCACCTTCGACACGTAGACAAAGTCCTTCGCATTCTTGAAGGATGTGTGGCGAGTGAGTTCGGGAAGTGCCCTACGAAGCTGCAAGTCTCGAGCTTGTAGTATCTTCAGTCAACCCAGCTGACTTCGTGTCCGTGCGCCTACTCGTGCCCCAGAAAATTAACACCATTTGTGTCTATGCTCCTTTCCAAGCGAAGATAGCGCTGCCCGTCTATTTCTGAATGTTGTCCGCTTGCAAAAGCACTCCATCCATGCTCGGATTGCCTATCCATCGACTCCATGGCGCAGACTAGAAGCAGCTGGCATATGGACCATGCTGAGATTGTCATCCAGGCGGAGCAATAATTTGCGGACATGCCCCGTGTCCGCGCGACGCTATTCTCCAGGACTCCGATACGCTGATACGGAGGCAAGACGCAGATATCGAGAGTCACGGATGCTACGACCTGTGGGCAGAGGATGTCACCTATGTGCACTATAGGATAAGCGAACTTTCTTCCATCCGCATGCACAAGGATGTTCAAAGGCGGCATATGGGTGTGAGCTGAGAGCCGCCGAGATCAACAAGCTCAGGACCTGCACACGTAGCGTCTTCAATAGTATATAAGACCTCGTATCGTATCTCTCCTTCCCTGGATGCCGGAAACCATCGGACATCAATGGCGCATGGTTCTCCTTCCCTGGATGCGCGTCTCGCTCGCGTGCCAAGTGGACGAGCGCAATGCTAAAATGAGGCGAAGCAATCATTTGGCTTATGGTGGGTAGAAACGCACATGGTGACAAAAAGTTGAAAGACCCAGGGGCCAGAAGTATGAAGCTGCTGGAGACGAAGTGGATATACGCTGGCCAGAAACAATCATCGGGACTTCATGACTCCACCCAGAACATCTAGAGGGGAGGCCCACTGGAAGCATTCTGAGATACAGACTACACCCGGGATATCACTTGCGCTAACGACACGAGAGGGCCCCTCGCCTCTGGGTGTTCGACGTTAGGTATAAGCGATAGGAAGGAAGCCAGCAGTGGTAGTGTATGCATGGACATACCGACCACTCGGAGTACAAAACTGTCGACTGGCTAGGATCTGTATGGAAAGATCAATGTTCCATAATGGCTGTGGCTATGCTGGAGGAACCCGAAACCACGTGCATTGGAAAGCCACAAGCATGAGGATCATGTATGATCTCTCCGTGACTCGGATAGCTTTACGATCTTCCAAGTTGTATCGCGGTGAGCATCGTCCTACCCGGATCCTAGTGCGCTGTTCTCCAAGAGATAACCAAACCAACAGTTGTTCATAGTTGCCAACGTCGGGGCTGTATCCACACGTCACTCCTAGCAGTTATGTCCTCTAGCAAACTATACCAGTCGATGCCGAGAGTTCGTCCATGGCTAGACCAACACGCGTGTCCTGTGTGGTATCACTGCGGCATAGCTGAGGCTTGAGGAACTACACCTCGAGGTAAGTTCCATGCATATATGCATGGCATCCTCGAGCTGACCCGACTTTGTGGCCTGTCATGAAGCGTCGTGGCTGCATTCGTCCGCGCAGAACCCTCAAGGCAGCGTCTAATTGAAGTTGAAGAAAATTACCCTGCTGCACAGTCTTTCCTTCCCTTCATCTTCTGCCTCATAGCTGGACAGCCGCATTTCGTGTTCCATCATCTATCCTTCTGTCGATACTGTGGCCCAGCCTGTGCCGCCCAAAACTGAAGGTGAGTACGTGGAGTCTTTTAGAACTCCAGCTCATCAGTAGCCGTTTTCTGTATACTCTTTTCAACCAGGACGAGCACTTCGTACAATTGATATTTGATGCGTTATGGGGGCCGAGTTTTCCGGCGTAGTCACCATCACGAATCTTGAATTCGACAATCGAGTGACGCTATCAAGGGACAGTCACGCAGAACCGCTTGTGTGTATTGTTCGAGAGCCTGTAGTCTCCGAGATCGAACAGGTGCGGCGCAATGTAACCATACTGCATAAACGTATCGTTGATGCTGAACACTCCTTGCAGTGGGAACTCAGACATGGCAGTGCTGGTCGCTATCAGATCTGGAACGTCAAACACAATTTCGCAGCTTCTGTACATGCAACGTACGACGATGAACCGCAAGTAGTGAGCTTTGCGGGTAAGTATTGGTGGTATCTTGAGAGAGTATCAGATGTGCAATTTGGTCCAAACGCTTATATGTAGGTTATCTCGAGTCTGTTATCGATTGTGAGAGCCTTATAGGTTACTGAGCAGGATTCGCCCGGCGTCAAGACATCAAAGGCACCTTTGCTGGTCGCTGAGCGACGGTGATCCTGAAACGCCAGTAAGTTCCTTCCGCAACCTCAAGGTATGCCTCTTATAACTTCTCTATTCGATTAGATACATCTTCAGCCATTTGCAATGGATCGACGCAAGATATGGAGGGTATGCTCAAAAACATTGTGCTTCTTCCGTATATTTATATTTGATGTTAGATTTCTCCGTATGACACAAACACTAAGAGTGGTGTTGATCATACCGATGCTCATCTACCGATTCTGGTCCCGTCGTTGCAGCCAAGATCAATTGGCGATCAGGATCCGACAAAGCGCGATATTGATGAAGCGGCGTCTCACACAACTCAAGAGTTGGACGATATGTATAAACAGGTCTTGGAAGAAGTCATGCCGGGAGTCAAGAGAGAGGAGATAATCCCTATGCTTCACTCTGTGCTTGGACAAATCGTTATTTCACAGCTGCCACTTTCCACATCCACCCTCATCGCTGTGCGGCAGCACTTTCCGAGCGAGGGCAAGGAGGACAAGGCGCAACGCGCAATCGACGTGGAGCCGATCGTTCGATCGCTGGGCGCATTACTCGTCGGCACGGCTGACGATCAAACACCGATCCGACCGCTCCATGCGTCATTCTACAGTTTTCTGTTGGACAAGGAGCGGAGCGGCAACTTCAGCGTCGAAGGATCGTCGGAGAATCATCGAAGGCTTGCCTTTGCTTCGCTGCAGATCATGAAAATCGGGCTCCGTTTTAATATCTGCCGTCTAGAGAGCTCATACGTGTCCAACTCTGCCGTCTCCAACTTGCAGGAACGCGTTGCGAGGTTTATTTCACCAGAACTGCAATATTCCTGCCAATTCTGGACTTATCATGTTCAAGCCGCGTCTTTCGATTCTGCCCTGGCGAAGGAGGTGCATTTCTTCTTCGATGACGAGCGCATACTCTTTTGGCTCGAAGTGCTCAGTCTGACAAAAAACCTCAGTGGAACCGCTTCTGCTCTATCGTCGATTGCATCTTGGTTCCCGGTGGGTTGATTCCTGCATTTATCTATTCTTGAAAACGAAGTCTAACATCTTCTGAACAGGATAGCGACGATTATTTGCAAGTCAAGAGTACCATCGCAGACACTGAGCGCTTCGTCAGAATGTCCGCGGCAACCATATTGCGAAGCACGCCGCATCTCTATCTGTCAGCGTTATCATTTGCTCCGACATCGTCGCATATATCGCGTAAGTTCTCTGCCAAATTTCCCAGAGGGGTCAGGATTACCGCTGGGAGGATGACCAGGTGGTCGTCCGTGTGGACCACGATGCATGGACATGCGGACACTGTGAACTCAGTTGCGATCTCGCATAATTGGCGACTAATCGTATCTGGGGCGAACGACGATACAATCCGGATATGGGACGCGGAGACTGGGGAATTAGCGTGTGCTCCTCTCCGAGGACACACGGGCTCTGTTTATTCCGTTGCCATCTCCCACGATGGACGACGTATTGTGTCGGGTTCTTGGGACAAGACCGTGCGTATTTGGGATGCGCAGACCGGGAACCAATTGGGCAACCCCCTGAGTGGACATACAAATTGGGTCACCTCTGTAGCTATCTCGCATGACGGACGACGTATAGTGTCGGGCTCAAATGACGCGACGATCCGCGTGTGGGATTTGGAGACCGGGGAACTGCTCGGTGTTCCGCTGAAAGGGCACACAGACTGGGTAACATCCGTCGCCATCTCGCAAGATGGAAAGTCTATCGTTTCTGGATCGTGGGACAAAACAGTTCGGGTGTGGAGTGCAGAGACTGGTCAGCCGTTAGGCGCCCCTCTCCAAGGGCATGCAGATAAGGTTAAATCCGTCGCGATCTCACACGATGGACGCCACGTCGTATCCGGCTCCATGGACAAAACTATTCGTATATGGAACACGCAGACCGGAAAGCAGCTGGGAGCTCCTCTGGAAGGGCATACGGGTTCTGTTGAATCCGTCGCAATCTCCAATGACGGGCACCGCATTGTATCTGGTTCGTCCGACGAGACGATCCGTATATGGGACATAGAAACGACAAGCTTAGTCGGCGCCCCTCTCAGAGCGCACAAAGGCTGGGTCACTTCCGTCGCGATCTCATCTGACGGACACGCTATTGTTTCTGGTTCCAAAGACACGTCAATTCGGGTGTGGGGCACAGAATCCAACGCAGAGACACAAGAGGCACCGGCTGCTCCTCTCAAATCGCGCCCCGGTATGGTCTTTTCCCTGGCGATCTCTCCAGATCGCCAAAGAATCATATCGGGATCGGATGACGGTACAATCCACGTGTGGCACTCGGGGACAGGACAGCTCGTGGGCATTCCTCTCAAACGACACACAGGTTTCGTTCACTCTCTAGCTATATCACATGACGGACAGCGCCTGGTATCCGGCTCAGAAGACAATACGATATGTGTATGGGACCTAGAGGCTGTCAAGGCGCTGGGCTTGCCTTTCAAAGGTCATATTGGACCTGTCCGCTGTGTGGCAATTTCGCATGATGGCCGACTCGTCGTCTCGGGATCTGAAGACGCTATGATCCGTGTATGGAATTCTGAGACCGGGCAATTGAAGAGCGTCCTCAAAGGACACGCATATACCGTCACTTCTGTCGCGATTTCGTATGACGGACAACGCATTATATCCGGTTCGTATGACAACACGATTCGTGTATGGGATGCTGGGACTGGTCAGCTCCTAGGCGTGCCCCTCGAGGGTCACACGAACTGTATCACATCCGTCGCAATTTCGCATGACGGACGGCGTATTGTGTCCGGTTCGGCAGACAACACGATCCGTGTGTGGGATGCCTCCACGGGGGACATGCTGGGTTCCCCCTTTGAAGGGCACACGAATGCTATCTTCTCTGTCGCCATTTCAGATGATTCCCGATGGATTGCGTCTGGTTCTTGCGACAAGACGGTTCGTGTTTGGGATATGAGCACTGGGCTGTTATTTGGCAACCCCTTTGAGGGCCACACGGACGTGGTCATGGCCGTTACATTTTTAGGTGATAAACTCATCGTATCCGGCTCCATGGATGCCACAATCCGTACATGGGAGATTGGAGTGGGTGCGTTCTGCGCTCATCCTCGCTTGCATGCTCGTCATATTGACGGAACATAGATCCGGCTCCCCCAGATGACAAAAGCACATTGCCTGCCGCCCGACCTCCGCACCACCGCCCTATGTGGCTCAAGAAGATGTGGAGTCGTATCAGTCATCATGTCAAAGCGCGTGATGCTGCAGCATCCGTCGCGTCACGGAGGCCTGCACAAGTACAGGGCTGTCCTGGCATTCGTTTTTCCTCCAATCCTGTTCATGCTCTCCGCTTGCCGTCACTAACTTTGCCACTCTTCTTTTCGCGCTCCCTATTCCCCGATGAGCAAGGCTGGCTTGTTGGTCCTAGTGGCGAACTATTGTTCTGGGTGCCGGTTCACCTTCGAGCGCGGATGTGGGTCCCTGCAAATACGTTGGTAATACCCGACGACGCTCTGCAGCTAGACTTGAGTAGTTTTGCGCATGGATTCTCCTGGCACGAGTGTCGTGGGTCTTATCATGGTGTGTAAATGATACGATCGGTTTCCGTACATAATCATCTCTGTGGTCTGTGCAAAGATGTATCACAACGATTACATCAGGCTGGAATGCGAGGTGTAACTTTCTGGCAAGGTAAAGTGTTACCAAGTCCCAGGATAGGTGGGATCGAATATAGCGGTCGAGTGCTGAGAGGAGTGTAACTCACGAACGACTCATCACTTTCATAGTTTATCCTGAACCCATATTATGAATACCCTGCGGTCCGCAAGCAACCAGATGGTTGCTGACACTGATCTTAGTATTTAATGAATATAGGCCGGATCTTCGTATGTGAGCATGGAAAGCGTGTATACTATAGTCAGAGTGGAATCTAGCATCTCATATAAAAAATACCAGTGCTAATGGTATTTTCTAAGCTCGAGTTTACCAGTGTTGTTTACGCGTTATTTGTTATTGGTGGCGCGCCTCGTGAATGTCTCGCAACCGAATCATGACCAGAGGTTGCCCCGACGGCTCGCCATAACGAAACTATATCAACTCCTTGAAAGCTTGATTCCTTGTAGCATGTGTGTGCTCTTGACATCATTTTTGGGTGCACAGACCAGTAATGTGGCACCTGAACCTCATTGAACAGTTCAACCGGTTGGCTGACCAGTTCGAAGCACGTGGCACAACAGATCCTTATCGCTATGTTGTTTTCCGCTAGTCAGCATGATTTCTATCTGGGTCCTGCAACTCCGCTGATCTGCCGTGGTACGTTGAGCTGATTTCTCCAGTCTCGGAGCGTAATCATCAGCACGGCTGCCGCGATCTACATTGTTCCATACCGTTGAGCTCGCGCATGACTGACCGTGCTACGTTTAGCGTTACATTTTACTGGCTGACGTATTAAGATTCCAAATGGGTTTCTAGCAGGATACGAGTAGGTCGTCTTTCTCATGATTCTACCTAGCTTGACAAAGATGTTTTCAGCTGCAACCATGCTCTGATCGACGAGAACCAGCACAACCATCGCGCACGAGGCGTAGACACCTACATCAACGCATAGCCCCGTTGCGAGGACACTGTAAGTATCCCTCCTCAAGATTGTGCTCGTGGACGTTCTGATCTCATCGCGCAGTTAATCTATGACATCCGAACCTCTCGAAGCATGGAAAAAGGCGGAAGATCTTGCAATACTCTGTATTTTTGTTCGTCAACTACATGCATGCATGTCTTCTCTTACACTCAGAGACATATACTTTTTTTCGGTTCTTCAAGTTATTGACAATGTACTTCTGAATATGAGGCGCTCAGATGGAATGACAGGTCAGAAATCCACGGAGTCATATGTCCTTCGGCCATTTTGAATCCGCTCTGGGCGGCATGTCGACGAAATTCTTGGCACTGTCCATAGTTCAACTAGCTCCGTTGGCAGTCTGACATTGACGCCCGCCACGTAGACATTGGTTCCCATGATCATGTATGGTGTGCTGAAAGCTGCTCAAGTTTTAGTCACAATCGCAGGTGGTAGCGCGTCTCAAATCCACGAGTCGAGGTCACCGAGTCTTCGCTCTAGTTGTGCGTCGATCAGAGTATGGGACCAGTCACTGGCCTCATTCATGCTGTTTTCCGCAACACTACAAAGGCCACAAGGTTTGGGGTTTGTGTACGTTGCTCAGGGGCAATTGATGGATGCGTCGGCGACTTGCAAGCACCGCCGTCAACACCGAGGGGAGCTCGCGGTCTTGAGTCCGCTGAGGGGCCCAGTGTCAATTAGCATGAGATCTATTCCGCACTCGCGCCGCCGTTTCAAGGAGACGTGGAGCCCGATCGGCTTCTGACAGCTCGGTAGGCTACGTCTAGTTCAGCATTGAGGTCGATCAATATTCTAATACCTAGACCAGCTCCATCTTCCCCTTGAACAACGTACTGTGCCTCTTCGTGCCTGCTAAGTCGTAGAAAACTCTCATCCTGGATCGGCCGCCCACTTCACCCGGATGGCACTTTATTCAAGGTGCTTTCCTGTCTCAATCTAAGCGGTGGTACCAGACTTTTTATGGAACGTGCCCGAATATCAACATTGCTCAAATTACTGACAACGGGTAAATGATACTCTTGAAACAAAGCGGTACCTTTCTTTGCTGTCAACCAACGGTGACAACTATGGTCCGTCTTCCTACCAAGCCCACAGATGCGCATTTCCTAGTTTCCGCAACATATAAAGCAGCAGTACTTCCACCATAGCCCTCCATTCGCAACCTAACAGCGCGAAGCAACTCTATCACATCGCTCTTTTCAAATCCAATCTGTACGTGCACTGTGACTCAATTTACGCTCGTTGAAGGCTTACATGGCTCAATGTTCACAGACATTCAAAATGTGTGTCGGAGAAAATTGTGCTCCCCAGGCTGCACACTATATGAATGCACAACTGGCCGCGCTACATGAGAATGCCAAAACCTGTATCGAACACCACGACACGAGCGAGAAGTCGCCTGAGCAATTCAGTACGTATTTTCATCTATTATGTCAAACACAAAAATGCTTAGACAGCACAGAATACTCTCATGCTCTCGCAAGGTATACCTTCGTCGATCCTTACACCAAAGGCCACCCCACCATGTTCCAGGCAGATTTTGAGAAGCCGAAACTCGAATTCATCTGTAACCACGATGCCATCCTTCGCCTCAAAATCAAGAAAGGCCTTTATCGTCTTGATTATAATAAAGCAACTAATATGTCCTATTCCGAGAAGTCCGCAGCAATCTCCTCGTTGAAACATCTTGTTCTGACTTCTTACATTCCAGGGACCGATTGCAGGTTTTAACCAATGTAGAACTAGCCTTCCGTGTCGGATTCGAAACCCGCGAGCTGCGCGGCAAAGATACGAAGATCGGTAACGGCCAGAACCTCATCCAGCTGGTCGTCTTTGACCTTTTGAGTGGGTTGATATTTACGTTTGTATTTCTTATGTTGCTCAAAGCTTCCACTCGTAATATAGAATCCCATATGATATCGGTGGAGCCCGCAGTGATTATCGGTCGAGACGCTTTCGTCTACTACATGACCCAGTACCTCTCTTTCTTGCACCAAGCTGGAAACCACGTTCTTTTTTCTCTTCCCGATTTCGACGACGACCGTTACCGTCTGACGGTTGACTTCTCAATCGAGGGGTCTCCAGCCTTCGATATCCAGGAAATCCATGGCATCAACGTGCAAAAGATCAACACCTACCTCTCGTCCGTCTGGTTGAAGGCCGCCATGCTCCTCGGTGGTACGGACGCAATAGAGTCAGAAACAGACTGGAAATCAACGATACTTGCTCAGTACCGGAGCTCTTGGGCTTTACATGGCGATACAGATTCGCACTTCCATATTCGCCTTGGAGCTCCACGCATCCAGCCAATCTGTTCGCGAGAGGCTATTCTCTATTTTACCATCGATGAAGTTGCCTTTTACGAGACAAGCAACTTTGATCTGTGAGTCTGTCCTCCTGACGGTTTGCGTCAATTACTCAACAATCACGCTAGTGAACCGCTTCATCACTACTCTAACTGGGAAGTTGCAATTCTCGTCGATATTGTCCACGAGAAGCTATCCGATGGAAGCGTTACTCGCTGTGCGCTCGACCTCACAAGTGCGTTTCCCTTCTTGTTTAAAGATGCCGGCCTGACCTGATTGGTTCCTTTAGCGGCTCGCGCGTATCATCGTTTCTGCACCTTCCCTGGGCTCGATCACGCGAACGAGGTTATGACGTCCCACTGTACGCGTCTCCTCGAGTTTTTCACCGCAAGCTATCTCGATATTCTGGAGAGCGTTGACTTCCACGTCATCTACCACTTTGATGCCCGCTGGCAGATCTGGGACACTGTCGACGTTTGTGGAAGCAACGACAGCGACAGCGACACTGGCGATGGAATCGAAAGCTGGAAACTGACTGTTGGCGACCACACTACCAAGCATGCCTCTTGGGTCGAGAGAGTCACACGCTGTGCTACCTCCGGCTTCGACCATGTCTCTGCAATCTCTCAGTCATCGATAAACGCATTATTCAATACTCTCTGGACCCTTGGCTCTACGGCGAAGATTACAGATCATACATCGGCCGTGGCGAAGTGGAAATACGAGAAGTTCTTCTCAGCCACGTTCAAGCCTATGACTATTCGCCTACTCAGCAACGGACGTGCGATTGTCTGGATTCACGTGGAGCGGGGTCACTTGAAAACGTTGCGCAACTGGCTGCCTTGGATTGAGTATGTTCTTATCGTCCTAGTCCCTAATATTTCTCACGTTCGATATTCCACAGGAGCGTAGACCACAAATTTGAGGATTGGCATCTCGCCTTCGAGGTGAAACTTGGGAAGTGCACTCATGCGGAACTGGACGTATCCCAAAAGTGGTTGACCAAGTTCGCGGAAACAGCGGTGTTCAAAGAACACGGAAGTCATCACGATCGTCACCTTGAACACTTATACCTTGACTTCAAGCGTATGTTCGCTCATCGCTTTCGCTTAGCTGACAATTGACAATGTACACTGCTTCAGATGCCGAATTTCTGCACGAGTTCTCCAGCTTTGACACCTTATTTCATGGGACCGATCACCGTCCCATTGACCAAGTTCAAGCAGCAGTCCACTATCTAAAAAGCCACTACCTCCCACATCTTGGGCACTGGGGTCTCAACATTATCCACACCGTCCCCATCTGGACCTCTAAGTCCGATACTCCTTCTTGTGCATTGACAAGCATCGCCTTCCACGTCTATGCTAAGGATGCCATTACGCGACACAACTGGGCACACATCTCTGCCACACTTGAGCCGGTGATCGTGTTGCTGGGGATGACGCGGCATCGTCCCTTGCCTTGCACCCGCCTCGAATACTCTGCGAATTGGGTCATCCGGCTGACGAAAGGGATTTCATACAGCACCGTTTGCATCTCGCGCGCGGCATTCCTGGAGCGTCGTCTGCTCCATTTGCTCTCTCATGTCAATGCTGTTACAACTGTGGTACCCAAGTTTTATGGCATCCACAATGGAGTCTGGAAGCTAGACCTCACAACATGGGCCAAGCACGAGTGGAAAAATTCGGACGAGTGCAGGTGGTCGCTTGTTGATGACCAGCATGGTAAAATGAAGTACAGATGGCAGCATCGTGATGCGTGGAAGTATGAGCATGAGGGCACTGGTGATGTTGCCGATGGCACATACTCAATTATCTGTAAGTGTTTACGTTGCGAAAATCATTGTATGTACTGAGAAGCCCACACATAGGCCTCACACGCAACTTTGTTGAGATTCCTACGGCATCGCGGCACAAATCCCTCGATATTAAATTGTGGGGAGAAGTTGAGATCGAAACAAACTTCGTCTCCGGCTCTCATCGAGGAAGGTACGTTTCTGCAGCTAGCCGTGACCAAAGCATCATACTCATGATGCTTATCGTTTAGTGCCAAGTCTTCTGCCACCTGGGATGCGACGTTGTGTATTCAGTCGGATATTGACGGCCTCAAGGTCAAGGTCATCGGTTCAACATCACCCAAGTTCCAAAAGACTGTCTATACAGGCGACAAGACCTCTGCCATGTTCGGCGACCTCGAAGTCAGCCTTCGGAAACAGCTCCCGCACACAGTTGACCTGAGCAAGGTCCTGCACGAGCTCCGAGCGTTCGAAGGCATATGGAAGTATGGATATGCCGGGACGCAAACTTATCATCTCGCGAATCCCGTCTTCACCACCCACGGTGACATCATGTTCGAATTGCGTCCTCACGTTCATCAGACGGGCACCAGCGGCGGCTCGCTTCGCCCCTCCGGTCCACATGGTCTCCGAAGCCCAAAGTCTAGCTCTAGCCTCCGTTCAAACTCGTCCTGTAAGCCTCGCTTTGCTTCTGCCACCTGTTAACGGCCTGATTTTGTTTTAGTTTTCGGGAAGGTGAAGGAGATTGTTAACTCAGCCCTGCATGACGTGGCCGATGATCAACACCATGACCATCATGCACAGAATGGCTATGACGTTTTCACCAATGGCCATACGATGCACAACGGTGGCATGCATACAATGCAAACTCTATCACTCGATGTCGATGAGAAACAAACAATCGTCGTTGAGGAGACCCAGGAGATAGAGGGAGATCAACCGTCCTTTCTGGTGCCTGAAGTGGTCGTGGCGTAGCCTTCACTGGCATTCTCTGCCTTTGTGTCTTTGTTGCTGCTGTGATTATTGTGCTGTCTCAACTGAGACTTGATTTATGGTTGAGAAAGGTTAATGTGCAGATCATACAGGAGCTCACATGGTCAAGTGAAAGACATTTTTTACAATAGTGTAAACAATTTGTGGAACAAATCGACACAACATTGAATGACACTGCAAAGTTCATGTTACCAACCAATATATTTTGTTTCCCCCGTTGTTCAACTTGCACCCTCAATCTTCTCACAGCGAATGATCCTGCATGTGACAACTAGCGTATGATATGACACTACATCCAGAGTGTTCTTCGTCTCATATCTCCCAATCAATGAGGAGCCCATATGGCGCTATTAGGTCGTTGCTCATCATGATGACTGCCGGACAAATGTTTTTGTGCAGAATACCAGCTATCTCCCATGCATCACGGTGGGCTGCAACAAGATGAGCGGTGGAACGATTATAAATATCAAGGAACACACCTTGAATTGCGTCGTACATTACGGCGATGAGCTCACGACTGCTCCTGAAAGTCTCCAAAGGCCTTCCAACGGGACTAACGACCATGCGATGCAGTGTACGAGTATTCCAATTTCCTGCCACGAGTAACGGTTTAGAGCCATCTGATGCGGACCGTGGCTCTCCGAGATAACCAGCGATTTCCTCTGGATGCCCCATCGTCTCTGAATCCAGGCGTGAAGGAGTCAAGACGTTTCTCGAACAATCGGGACCCGAAGGGTCGTAGTTTATGTTCGTGTAGAGGACTATCGCGTCCGGAGACCACCCTCCACGCATGAGCTCCTTCACACATTCTGTCGCATACTTGACTAGACGTTTGTCACGTTGTCTCCGCGCACCTGTCGTGTCTTCGTCCGCAGGTTGACTGGTAGACCATTCTCGGCTCAATGCATCAACGATGAACCCTATGAGATGCCCATCACATGCTTTCTGAGACACGATATGAATAAGAGGAATTGCCAATCGCAGGCTAAGGAAAACCCACGAGTAGATGCCTCTTTTGAAAGAGACATGCAAGGAGGTTTCCTATGAGATTGGTTAATGATGTGGAATTGTCGAGATTTTCAATCCTTACTTTGGTCGACAGATTTCATCTAGATATGTCGGAAAGAGACACTTCGATTGTTCAACCAATGTCTAGGATTCGTGCACTGAGAATAAAATATACTTCCCTCCGACCAGCCACACTCACTGTTGTACAGCTTTACTCACCAGTAGTGCCGCGTAAGTTCAAGTCAGAACCGAGAGCATACTATTATGTGGTGGCGGAGCGGACAAGTCAAAGACGGTCCCGAAGTGAATGTAAAATATATGCAAATACTCACCACTGCAAATAAACAAGGATGCAGAGAAGAAGCAAGAGCGACGTAGTAGTACAATTATCGTGGCTCGCGCAGGTGGCCTTGGCCAGCACGGCTCAGGGCGGTTCAAGTACTAAAAGCTTGTGGCTGTCGTTGCCGTGCCATGGCAGAGATGCGCTCTTTGAATTCCACAAGTTCCATTGGATGGCGAACGATCGCGCGTCTCCGCGACTCAAGTCGGGAGCCAGATCCTGTAACAACCACGTTGTTCAACCAGTTGGTGTGCAAAAATTCAGTACGCCATACGAGATGAAGGTAACAACGTTATCCCTAACGAGAGATCTCGCAAACAACACATCCACCCATATCATAAAATGCGGAACTATAGTATCGACAGCAACTACCCAAGGAAGCAGTACACATTCCTGTATCGTAAACCCACAAGAGGCCCAGAATTTATCCAACAATAAATATACAACCGTCCATGTCTTCCTTACCACCACGGATGGCAGTCCCCTCCATCCCAAACCCAGACATCCTTCTCGTCACCCACAATCATCTTGGCACGTTCCATCCACGCGCCGTCATAGACGTCACGCACCCACCAGCGTACGAGAGGGTGACCGAGCACCCATTTGAACCATATGTAGAAATGCCACGAGTAGCTGGTTACGACCCGCGGGTTCACATAGATACGCTGTAGATCGTACACACGGCGCATGTCGTACGGCAGTAGGAATGACTCCGACGAAAAACACTCCCCTGCGTCTCTATCAGCCGACCGGAATCGAAGTGGTGGCGTCAGTGCAGGAGATGGGCCCCGCAAAGACGGATCGCGTGCGGCCGGGTGTGTAGGAGGAATGGGACGAGGTAGAGGGGAAGTTGATAGGGTCGTGTTTGAACGAAGTGAGATGGGAAGCAATGGGTCAGCAGCAAAGACGACCATTCCATTCCAGCAACTGAAGACAGGCACCGGTGCATCTTCATGCATCAGCTTGATCGAAGGTGCATCAATGAAAAATGGCCAACTGCACCGTGGATCAGTAATTATACAATGTACAGGAAACCTCCCACGTACACTGTGCTCGTGAGGTGCCCAAGGCGATCTCGGAGGACCCACGCATCATACGCTCTAAGACACGATCAGGAAAAGGACCTGATGAGAACAACAACAACTCACCCAAAATGATTGAAATCCATGGCACAAGCCATATCATATTGGCCATCCGCAGTCTCCAGCAGCTCAATGACGCTTTCCGGTTCAACATATACGTCATTGGAGAACAACACTCGACTGTAGCCCCCATTCTCTACCAAAGGCTCCATAACGCGATTGCGTATCGCTGCAAGGAAGTTGATCCGGTTGTTGAACGACAGATCTCCCGGCTTCACGATAGTGTCGTCCCTAACCAACACGCGATGCGCAACACCCATATCCGATAACTTGGTAGCAAAATCTGAAAGGAGTTCCGGAGATCTATCTGTCGAGGAAGATTCGACAATAGAAACAAAGACGTTCTGTGTGCCCAGGTAGGATATCACGGTGAGGAAGGTGTTCGTCCAGTAAGGTAAGATTTGTTCGTTATTGTAGAACGCGGCAGCAATATAGATCTTCTCTGTGAAATTGGTAAGATTGGCGAACGCGGAAGAGAGGGATACAAGAGCAGATCAACATCAATTTACAGAATACGAACTGCGAAATGCCTTGACAGAGGCCACTATGAACGTGAGACGGCTAAGAGATCAGAATGATCTGTACACACGAAATCCCACGATATGTGCGGACTTAATTACAGTCAAGAAGACATATTGAGCCCAGATGTTGCAAAAGCAGAGGCCAACATGATAAATCACAATCCGCTAGAATCAGGGGACGACCGAGATCAATCATGCACAGCGGAAACAAAGATGACTGGAGACGCAAACGTCTACTAATAAAAAAAAAACCTCCGACGAGGAAAACACGAAAGATAAGAGACTGACCTCCCTTCCCATAGCCATTAGGATAGGGATGTGGCTTGTCGGCAAGGACTTGTTGAATTACCGGCCTGTATCGAATGTCGTTCGGGTGCTCATAGTGAGCGCCTTGCCAGAGTCCGGCGAGCGCAATGGACACATAGAGCCCAACCTGAAACCACCAGAACCACTCCCAGCCCAGTCCATGGCGTGACCGATACTGCTTTTCGTTTGGAGACACCGATCTCGATGTACGGTCACTGCCTGGCAGCAGCTGGTCCTCCGCATCGTCTCCAGAACCTGAAATTCTGGGGCTACCGGCTCGCGAGCTCACCCGAGAGCGCACCCTCCGTATTCTGAACCACCATACTGCTGCCTCCCAACCAAGCATCCAGACCAGCCATATTGCCGCGTTGATAGGGGCCACTGCTAGCGCGAGAGCCCATGTTCGCCAGGATGGGGGAAAGGCGGGCTTCCAGATACCGTTACAGTCGTAGATTATACACCATTTCGCGTAGGCAACGTTATAGAGCAGAAAGAAGGTGATGAGAGGTAGAAAGAACGGAGTACGCAGCACTTGAATAAGTAGACGGAAAAAGCCCGCAAGGTTCCACCGAGGTCGCCAACTCCGGGGCAGTCTCATGTGTGCTGCAGCAGTTGTCCCCGGTCAGGAAAGAAGAAGGTAGCTGCCAGCTCCCGCTTGGTATCCGAAGAATTGAGCTCTGCCTGGACGAGAAGAGAGAGGAGGCGGTGGATGCGGAGACAGCCAACTTCGCATTTTCAATCAGAACGCGCGCCCAGTGTGGAACTTGACAGTTTGCGCGCCTTCGGCATTGTATTCGGCACCAGGCGCGTCGGAGATGGCGGTGTTTGAATACGCCATCACCACATCGTTGCGTCCTCGGAAGACTGAATCATGACTACGACGAGTCTCTGGAATTGTTGCGAGTTACTTCGAGCATTATCCCAGTTGCAACACAGCAAGACAATCTTCATAAACCTACAGGAACGATTCCGCCCGTACCCTGATTCTATCGCCTTCACTGATGACTTGGAAGCACGGCGACGGACCACTCGGAAAGTAATCCTGGACCATATTCAAGCTATAAATACGCTGCAAAGGCAGTGGAATGCGCTAGCGCCAATCTCTCGCCTCCATCCAGAGCCTTTGACCGACATTCTCATGCAATTTATATGCTTTGCCAAGGAAAGGGTAGCACACTGCCGGCGGGTGTGAGTGGTTCATGTCTGCTCACTAGCGCAATGTCACCCTTGCATCTTCCGCTACGTGGAACCAAATTGTCGTAATCAAGGATTCGAAATGTATGGAAGAGTTCATTATTCGCTCGGGGAAGAGTGTCATCTCTCAATCTGGACATGCATCACCTGGCGGAGACCAAAGAACTTCGTATTCTTACGTCTTTAACTCTCTTCTAAAAAAAACTTTTAGGCCATCCTCAACCCCAGCGCTAGAAGCACTGGTCCTCAAATAACTATCACGGAGATCACACACCGGATGTGACACAGAAATTCAGCATGCCTGTTCTACTTCCCACTCACATGGTTTCTCTCCTGCGCCGCTTAGAACTCGTGGGTTGCCCAACTAGTGAGGATTTGGAGGCGTTTTTATGTCTTGGATTACTGAACATGCCACTATTCGCAATCCAAATAACGCCCCCAAGATGATGGTAGCGAAACTGCTTGCCAAGCTTGAAAATATCTCTTCGTTGAAGAACCTATGTGTATCCTTGAGTCAAATACCCTTGACAGACTCTTTTTTATGGACTCCGCGTCCTCGATCTCACCGGCGCCGTACAATGTTGCACAGAGATTTTGGACTAACCTGAGCTCCTTTATGAAGTCTCCTTGGTGACCAACTGTCCAGGGGACAGGATCCAAAGTCTTACGGATGCTCTCTTGCATCAACTATGTCACCCTCTAATAAATTCACATACAGGCTGAATCTTGTGTATGAACAATGCGGATATCGACAGGTTTCATATTCCAATCAGCTGCTCAACATGCAGTCAATCTAAAAAATTGCGACTGTCTATGCGGTCGGCGATCTTCAGTGTTCGAAGTGGGTTGAGTGGAGGCGCTGGGGCAGATGCACAACCTCTTTGCGCTGTCGATGGATGAAATGGATAGTCTTTTCGGACCTCACTGGGATAATCACCACCACGCGGACGACCAATCCAGCTCTAAAACAGAAAGTATGCAGGCTATCCCGTATGTCTTTCCTCGACTACAGTAATTAACGCTGAAAAGTGTTTAATTCAGATGCAACGAAGGATCGGTTCGTTACTACAGTGAGATTGGGGTGTTTGGGCAGTCATTGTTAGATTGCATTGACAAGTGGGATGAGAATGGCCTGCACATACGAAGGCTCGGTTTGAGACAGTACAGAGACCTAAAAGAGATGGAGGTGAGTAGCTTCAGGAAGATGGTAGGCAGTCTCAAGTGAGATAAATGGGATGGGCCTGATAGGATCTTGACAACAAGACAGCAACAATCAGATGGATTTTAGCCCGGTAATGAAACGTAACATCGTAGTACAGGGATTTGGGGGCTGTACCGAAAAGATAGAGACAGGAGGCTTTGTTCATTGTCTTCTGAGCTTATAGTCATTCAAGGATTGCAATTTTATGTGCACGATTTATCTACATGCCCGTCTATTGAGCTTGCGCATTGGCATGAGCCGTTGGCGCCGGCGCCGGCAGATTTGTGATCTGGATTCCGAAGTCTTCCTTCTCCTCTCGCGATACGTACATGTACGTGGGACGGTTTGCACTTGAATTGACTGTAGGTAAGACTGTATGCTGTATGATTCATGAATACTGAAACTGATAAAATGGACAAAGTGCCCATTCAACGATAGAGTCCAACTTTGAAGAGCCTCGGGATAAATATCTAGCAATCACGTACGTCTCTGGAGGCTTATTCCCTTTAGCCAAACTGCATTATGTTGACATGTCCTCAGGAGGAGAGTAACTATGAATACTACGCCGAGCTCAAAAGATATCATTATGAACGTCGACGGCATGTCACCACAAACTCTAGAGGACGAGATTTGCGGTTACCTTCGAATCGTGGCAAAGCTCAGGAGACAACTCAACACATTCGCGCCGATCTCTCGTCTTCCCCCAGAAGTCCTGGCGCAGGTCTTCATCCATCATATCGATCAGAGCTTGAATACCCTCAGAATTGAGAACTTCTACAAGTGGGTACAGATTACGCATGTCTGCTCGCACTGGCGGATTGTGGCGCTCGCATTCCCGCGAGTCTGGAGTTGCATATGGATCCCCATTAGCCTAACATGGATGAACGAAATGATAACGCGTTCCAAAAGTGTCCCCTTATCCATCAACGCCGTATATCTTTCCTTTGGCGCTGAAGCGGATAGAGCTGAGCTTAATTGCGTGGCTTCCGAGCTTATGGGACGTCTTCAGTCTCTCAAGCTTCGCTCAAGTCCTTACATGCATCAGAAATTTTGGGAACAAGTCAAAGAACCTGCCCCATTGCTACAGAGCTTGATCCTAATTAATGAAGCAGATTATGGTGGTTCTGATGCCTCGAACGCACTGAACTTGCCGATCTTGCTAACCCCCAATCGCGCCCCCCAGCTTCACAAGCTTGAAGTCCACAACTATCCCAATTGCTGGGAGAACATTTCATACCTTGGCTCGCTCCGCGATCTCGTTCTCTGCAATGAAGACAATGAACCGGATACAATCTTAACCACGATACCGATGGCTCAACTCTTCAGCGAGCTGGAGAAGCTTCCTAGATTGGAAAGTCTCACTCTCGATCGTGCTTTCCATCTGACCACTCCGGACATACTTGCCAAATCATATTCACTCCCCCATATCCATTCTCTCTCACTCGGGGGTGATCTGTCAGAGTGCACGGAGGCGCTGAGCCACCTGACTCTCCCACCTGGCGTCTCTTTCAAGCTATCGATCCATACATCCGGTGGAAATGTCCAGAAATTCGCACAGGTGGTGGCTGAGAAGATAAATCCGCTTGCAGCGAAGCCGCTGGGGGTTCTATGCGTCCATGAAACGAACGATGACCTACATATTCGGGCTTACAGTCGCGAGAAGCAGCAGTTGGCAGAACACATCCGAAACGCAACTACACCGAGTGATCCTGTCAATACTCACGAATGGGAATGGTCAGAGCGGCAGCAGTGCGTACTCGACTTGACAATTTCCGGCCACGCAAACATGCCGGGCATGGTACTTTGCGTATGCAAAACCCTGCCGATCTTGGAAATATCATTCTTGTTCTTGTCGGGCCACGTTGTAGAGAACGACGAAGTTTGGCTGGAAGCGTTTGGAAGACTGGAAAGGCTTACCATTTTATGGGTACATGCAGATTGGAGGCGCACCGCCAGTGCATTGCCAGAGCCACTATTGGGTCGGATGGTTAGCCACACGGACGAACCGGGAACTCCGTACTACTTCCCGAAGCTCCGAGTCCTCAAACTGGACGGAGTCTATTTCCAAAGCCTCCAAGAGCATTGTGACGAGATACGCGGCACGTTTTTTGAATCACTCCTGAATGGCCTAGCAACGCGATCAAGGCGAGGATGTCCGGTCCCTTCGCTCATCTTGAGAAAGTGCATCAACCTATTGGAGGACGATGTGAACGAGCTCAGCCAATATGTGAAAAAACTTAGCTGGGATAAATTAGAACAGTTCGATGATGATCATGACTACGCCAGTTCCTACTAGACGAAAATTTCATTCATCAAGATAATTCTGAGATGTGTACTTACGGTTTGTAGTACTTGTAGCAGGCATTAGACCTTGATGTCACCTTTTGCTAATCTAGAGGCCGACTTGAAGACTCAATTGATCGCGGTGCATAGATGCCTAAGGTCGACTCGCTGCAACGTCTGCTTTGGGAAAGAAAAAGTAAACACACTTGATGTAACAACGCGCGCATCGCTCGTGCTGCGATCTGCTACAACGAATCCGTTAGTGTTGGAGAACATTGGAGTCTGACTCGAGTCGCAGTCTCAGTCTCGCTCAGCGCTCAGCGCTCAGCCATCGCAAAGTTGCGAACGGAGCTGGAATGACCCACACTGTGGCGAGGGATAAATAAATGTCTCGCGTCTTGCAGCATCTTCCTTGTTGGACTTGTTCTGGTGACTCCCGATCCGCATTCAAAGTGGAGCACCAGTATGTCCACACAAATTACAAGTTCTATTGGTGAGCTGACTTGATTCATCAAGTCGCTATATAGCCAAGCCTTCAGTTCTTTCATGTGCTAGCGCAGCGATGGACCGGGTAGGATCAGCGTGAGTACCCTCAGAAAGTCTTTGACGCCTCAAGACAACTCACGGTCTTTCCAGAGATACAGAGCTCAAGACGCAGCCTCTCCACCTAGCGGTCTGTACAAATACCGCTCTAACGCGGCAAGCTATAGAGAAAGAAATCACTGATCATCTTGGAATCGTTGCGGTCCTCAAAAGGAGACTTAACACGCTTGCGCCTATCTCTCGCCTTCCACCGGAGCTTCTTGCCGCAATATTCGTGTTGATTGCCACCCAGTATGAGAATAGCAAATACCTGGTACAATTCACACACGTTTGCTCGCACTGGCGCGATACGGCTCTCGCTTTCCCTAGAGTGTGGTGTCACATCGTCCTTCCAGCACATCCTATGCTCTTAGATGAGCTTCTGGCTCGCTCAAAGGACGCTCCACTCATTATCAACGTTCGCTACATTACGAGATACGGTGCGAGAGCGGACTCGGAGCCTCTCGCGTTGACAATGAAACACTTAGAAAGAGTTAAAGAGCTTCGTATTTCTGCACCTTCCGAAGTACTACATAACATTTGGCAGGGTTCCAACAGCGTGGCCCCTCTGCTAGAGATTTTGCATGTGCGCAACGACTTTTCGCAATCCGAATCGTCCTCACATTCGTCAAAATTGCATCTCCCTATTTTGCATCCCACCAGTGTCGTTCCCCTCCTTCGCCGATTGGAGGTTGAGCACTTCCCAAATTGTGGGGGCACTTTCCCGGCCACCACTTCACTCCGGCATCTCAGCATTCGCAACAAGAAGCATGGTCTTGCCAGAGTCGAACTATCCAAGCTGCTTAGCCAGCTGGAGAAAATGCCTGCCTTGGAGACGCTCCTGCTTGACGATGCCTTCCAGGTGACACCGGGCGCATGCGAACGGATCTTCTCGCTTTCTCGGCTCCGATCCCTCAATCTTTCGGCGACGACGACGGAATGTGCTAATGCCCTGACTCACCTCCAGCTGCCACCTACTACCCGCCTTGAAATCTACTGTCAGGGACAGGATATGAAAGACTTTTCCGAGGCTCTGGCAGGCACAATTTCTCATCCGGATCGAAGACCGTGGCGCAGCTTGCATGTCTATCGACTACGCACGGGGACCTCCTACATCAACTTGTACGAGGGTGATCAGCGCAAGTGGTTCGCTATGAATCGGGATCATGAGGCCCTTCCTTGGGGGAAACCTGAGATGGCAGTGCGTTTTGCGAATGCGCCAAATACACTGGTCACCATTTGCAAGACTTTACCGCTCTCCAATGTGCAGTCGTTGTTCGTGTCAGGGACAGTCGCCAGAACCGCCGGGGAGTGGTTGCAGGCATTTGGGAAGATGGATCAACTATCCACGGTGTGGGTGCAGCATGAAGCGGCTTCGGCATCCCTCGCCCGGGCACTACGCTATCAGAACAGTATGCAGCAGCAGGACGGGACCGGAGGGATAGAGCCGAAATCGCGTTACTTTTCTTCGTTAAGAGTGCTCAAATTGGAAGGCGTTCACTTCAAAACGCGAGACGAGGTGGAAGAATGTATCTTGGGCAATTTCGGTTGGGCTTTACTAGACTGTCTAAAGAGTCGTGCAGACAACGGTATCCCACTTTCGAAGCTTATTCTGCGAGAGCGTGTTAATACACTCAAGGAAGAGGACATTGAGAAACTCAAGAAATATGTCGAAACACTCGATTGGGATGAGTGGTTGGAGGGCTACGAGTTTAGTGATGAGGAGGAGGAAGAGGAGGGGGACTATTACAGTTCTTACGACGATGAAGCTGAATCGGAATACGATTTTCACAGCGACTATTGATATCTCACATTTGAGCGTCCCTAATCTTCGGTTTGAGAAATCGCAACTAGTTTGTCACATGCTTGATTTTTACTTTTACCATCGCACTCAGACCCTCGTTTCGTTCCCAACCTCGTTCCAGAACAAACATCTTTGGATGTAAATGTCCTCCTGCTCCTCCATGTGTGACTCTGTAGAGTTTGGTCCGCCCTCCTGGTTGACAAGACGCTGGTGGCTGGACGCAGAGAGCCATAGTGGCGACGATGCGAGCGGCTTGAACGCATTTGGATCGAAGGCGCGTGCGAAGCTTGTCCAGTATCCGATGGTCTCTGTCGCAAGCACCTGTTCGGACGAATTGAAGGGCGCGAAAATAGCTGTAGGCGCGGTGGGGTTGGGGCCGGAGCTGCAACACATGCATCATGAAATGGCCGGGAAGTCTGTAACGGAGCACCTACTTCGTGCCTGGAATACGTAGCTCCGAGTCAGCCAAAGAACGACATGGGAAGAACCGCGGCGTACCTTGGAAGAGGAAGAACAGCTCGGACGTGTGCATCACGCCCTCCCATGGGTTCGCGGCGAGCTGCACGGGGTCTGGCGTATTGAACCGGTAATTATACACGTTCTCATACCCTTCTGACAGCAGCTTTTGCCCAATGAACCAATCCCTGTGGGCGACACGCATCAATATCACAGTCAGACAACCCAACTCTAAACGCACATGCAGGTAAATACTGTGTCTCCGAATGCAGTCATCGCCCTCTCCCACTGCGACGAGAAGTCGTTCTCTGGGTAAAGCTCTATCATTCGGTCAATCGTTGCGTTCGACTGACCAAGATCACCTTTAGTGACGAGCCGTTGAAGGAAGGGCAGGGCAACGTACAAGATACAAGTATCGCTTCATGAGCGCCTCCACGAACCCCTCCGTCGTGTTCACAAAGTTCGCGGGGTTCCCAACAAAGATTGAACCATCATCGGTAACGTGCCCGCCGATAAACGGCATTTTGTGAAACGCGCCGCGTGTTATAAGGCGTGAAGGTAGGTCAGTAAGGAATTGGCCGTCGATAATTGGGAGGTAGGAGCAGTTCGAGGGTCGATCGTTGATCGCGGTGACTAGAGTGGAGAGCGGTGCGGCACGCATGCAAGACATGACCGCACTACTGTCGTTTGTGGCCGAAGTGCAGCCGACAGTCGCAGTAGCATTGGCGAAGCAGAACTATGAGTGCATGAGGGGAAATGAAAAAGATGCGGATAGGGTAGAAATTTACTTCGTATTGCTCCGGGAGGGGAAGTGGATCCATCCCGATACTCTCCGCAATCTTGCGGAATATGAATATAGATTAATCCAAAAGCTTTCTATCGTACGTACCGCAGCTTGAAATGGAAGCTCACCCTCGCCACCA